TATTCTATAAAATAAAATAAATAAAATAAGTATGAAAATCATGTTTTTATTATATATTTTATTGATAGGGGAGGATTTTCCATTACTACAAACCGCAATTGATACTAGCGGTCTATTTATAAGTAGAATATATTACCATAAAGGATATGGACATTTATCACCCTACTACGTCTTTTGTGTGCCATAAGAAGCAACAATGGAAAACCGCTGAAAAATAACAGGCGTTAAAACCATCTTGTTTACGCCAAGCGGTATAATGTCCTGACTGGCGATAGAGACTAAACGTGTGAGACGTCTGGAACTATTATCGCTAATAAAATCAGTAAAAGATGTCTCCGCTTATACAGAACAGTCTGTTGTTTATATATTTTTGTAAGAACGTGGCCCTGCCCTGGTCAAGTAGACTGCTGTAGTCTTAATTGAGTAAGAGCGTAGATCTGCCACGTCCAAGTTTAATTCTTACTTATGATTTTGCTTAGCCGATGGTAAATGGTTTCTGTGGCCCATAGATATTCACATCAATTTTTTTTATAGGATAGGGTGACAAACGAGCACACAGTCCACCTGATGGTAAATGGTTGCTGTGACCCATAGACATCTACATTTATCCTCAATCAGAAGAATCAAAATGCAGATGTGTCGTCACCGGTGAGGACAAAGATGGAATGCCTCTCTTCCAGTAAAATGGGGCTCCGGTTCTCTACACTCACCATACGAAACACAGCAGCGTTAAGCTGCTATTTTACGCTGGTATTCTGTGAGAGCGTGGTCCTTCCCCGATCGAGGCGACCCATTCGTGCTACAACTATACTACCTACTAATATAGCTGCAGTATGGCTCTTGGCTCTACCACGTCTATTCTCGGTTAAGAATCAAAATGCAAATGCGTTGTCAACCGTAAAGACTAAGATGGACTCGTTTTCAATGAATAGGGTTACCATACGAAGTACACCAGTGTTAAGCTGCTACTTTACACTTTCTATTCTTATATCATTTCACTACATGATTTTCTACCCTCCGCGTAATATGCTTATACCACGCCAGCCTACGTCTCAACTTTTGCGTGAGTGGTACTAGCCACTTTCAAACTAAACTTTGTTTTTATATAGATATAATTATCATGGTATGTTCTAAATATATATCTACCGCAACGACAGAGGAAAATAAACCAGAAGATTGGTATTAGCGCCTAGTGTGGCATCTACATCTGTGAGAATTATCTCTTTTATAAAACAATCTATGGAGGAGGCCTATGTTCAGCAGCAGCTTTTGCTAGATATAATACTTGATATGTTCTATAGACTTATGTAATTTTCATATTTAAACACAATAATATCACTGTCGGTTAGCGACCCATTCTTTCAAATAATTTCATATTCTGAAATAAATAACAAGTCGGGTAAACAAACCATTAGAATGCTTATTTGATTGAATTATAGTTGAAATACGGTGCTCTAATTTTTAAAACTGAATACCGTAATGATTAGCAATGAGTGTACGCGGGAGATTTCTCCATGGCAACGTCCCAGCAAGTCTCCGAGCCTCGACCTTCACCTTGGCATAACGGCTACGTCTGGGCTCACCTTAACTAAAGCGTTTGATACAATCGATCGCGAACTAATTCAACAAATCCATCGAGGCTCTTGTTTTAGGCGATGTTTCCTACGTGTACTTTATGAAAGTAATGTAAAATATACAAATGGGTATAGTCATTGCTATGAACAATTTAATGAGAAGTTCATTGGGTATGTGGGGTAACGCAGGGTAAATTTCTGAGGCATCTACTTTAAAGGTGACCCTTTGAAGGACGTCCTTTATACTCTCATTTGGAGCTGTTTACAAGACTTTTTATGCTTTGACTGTGGGGTAATTGAATCACTATTGAAATGTAGTCGAGGGGAAATCGCTTGGAAAGTTAGATGAGTTTTTATGTATAATTATAATATTCTTTATTTCTTTTGCTTAAATAGTTATATTATAAAAGCAGGTTATTTAATATAAAATATATTTAATATTATATTTTAGATAATTTTTCTAAAAGACTCTTTTTTGTATAATATAATAATTATTGTTTTACTTTTTAAATCATCTATAAACCATTAAACATTTAAAGGTGTTCGAAATAATAACTCTCACTTTAAAAATCTATTGGCGTTCAAAAAAGTTGATGTAATAGATGACAAGGCGACAGCTAAATGACAATGTCGAAGGACCAAAAAAATTAGTAAAAGCAATACATAATAAAGTATAAGGGTGGTTTTTTCAATGAATATTCTATGGACTGATTAGCATATACCTTAACAACCTGCGAACGAGACACGGGCGTGTCTTTCGACTGAAGAAACTAATAAAAATGCAAACATAACTTCAAAATTTAACGAAAAAAAAGACAGCTCGAGCGTCTGTTGTGACGATGTATTATCTAAATAGGCTGTATAATGTCGGCGCTTTGCCTTTTTATTTTCATTTGTTTATTGATTACGATACGCATCTTTTAAATTGTTAATAAATTATTTTGGATTACTTATATGCGAATCTGTTACATAGATTATTTGTATACTTGTGGTATAGTAGACTTGCTTCAGCTTTATTATGGTTGTAGTACGAATTGGTCGGTTTGACCAGGGAAGGATCACGGTCTCACAGAATACCATTGTAAAATAGCAGCTCAATGTTTTGTGTTTCGTATGGTGGGTGTAGAGAACCGAAGACTTTTTGGAAACACGGCATTCCATCTAAGTTCTCACACTTTCAATATATAAACCAATTAGTTAACTTCAGGCCGAAAAATCCCATTCTCCTTTCAAAGCGAGTTAGACGCTTGTGCAGACGCGCGTGGCGTGCGCGTAGCGGGTGCGTGTCGTCGGAACGCGGCCTAAGAGGTGCACCAACAAGAAGACATTTATTTAACTTTATTTGAATAACATTTCTTCATCAATATCCACAAAACTAAACGTGGAGTTGGGTTGGTAGTGTAAGAGAACAATTTGTTCCGTAAGAGGTGATTATGGATATGTCAGAACGATCATTTGATTTCCGGTGGATGGTGGTGTAAATATTTCTTTACGCCAGATGTAAAATACCACAACCAAATCATCGTCAAAGGTGCGAGATGCCAAGTACCGCCATTGTTAATCTGCCTGCCAAGCATGCCAATGATACCCTCATTGGCATGCTTCCACGACTTTTTCTGCCACCGGGGCAGCGCCACTCAAATTGGAGTGTAATAAGTATTCGACATATTTCATAGCGGGAAAGTTAATTTGTTCGAAAATGTTAAGGTTAATGTTTGTTTATGTACTATTAGTTATACTTTACATTAATTAGATTAAAAATAAATAAACAAAATAAATAAGTTCATAAAAGTAGAAAACTTAAAAAATAAAAAGTTAAAAATGTGCAAAAAAAATAAAGAACAAACCACTAAGGCTTTTTTTAGACCATCTTTTGTGTATTAATATAAAACTCTAGAAACTAATAAACATTTATTTAAAACTTCTCAATTAAATGACATTGTTTAACAACTAAACAACTAAAACTTCACCTCACTGTCAACTAGCGGCATCTGGTGAGCGGAAGATTATTGGCCCTCATTAAAGCTATTCCTCCTTATAACGAGACAGGTCCATGTCAAGCAATGAACATTTACACAGATTAATAAAGAAAATGAAAAATACCACACAATGTTAAATTTTTTTATACTAAATTAAATATTGCTAAGTATCAAAAAAAATATACACTAAACACATTTCGGTTTTGATTACACCAATTTCAAAACGCATCATTCCATCTGCTTATGAGATTGCAGTTAAAGAATTTATATAGGGAGTTTTGGGTGGTCTGTTTTGCAAATTATTAAGGTTCCGCTGTGCAAAAATAATGATTTGTAAAACATTTAAGCTGCGATTAAAATAATTCAGTACGCTTTATAGTTATTTAAAAAACAAAGAGTATGTTTTATAATATTACGTTGGTTATATAGCAGTTACTTCATCCTCTTTCAAAACACGTAAAAGTCCACTGCTGGACCTGCTGAGGCCATTTCCTTTATAGGTAGGATATGCCTTAATCGTGACGCTTGGCAAGCGGATAGACAATCGTTGGACGTCTCGTGTCTGACTCTATTTACTGATCGGGGTATTTAGCCTTGCATAAAAGAGATGGTTATATCCTCATCCTTCGGAAGCTTCAGAAGAAATTCACACACACACACACACACACGCACGCACGCACGCAATCACGCACGCATTTACGCACGCACGCACGCACGCACGCACGCACGCACGCACGCACGCACTCACGCACGCACGCACGCACGCACGCACGCACGCACTCACGCACGCACGCACGCACGCACGCACGCACACACACACACACACACACACACACACACACACACACACACACACACACACACACACACACACACACCGCGCGCGCGCATTTACACATCTGTACAATGATCACGTGAAGGTCCTTAACTCCGTAATAATGTTGGTTCGCAAATCGAAGCATTAAATGTAAACGTCTGTATTATATTATACGACTTTAAAATCATAACTTTGTTGCCCAAGCATTTTTTTAACGTTGATATCATGATCAACCCGCAACCAAAGAGTAAAGATATAATCAGAACGTTAACCCGCAACAATAAAATTTATAAATGCAAATTACTGTATCTGTTATCAAATACAATATAATCAATACATTTTATCTGTGACCGTAATTGTCAAGTAAGCAAAAGTGTCAAGTGTAAATTATTAAATGCTCATATATTTTTAAAATTCTTTGTGCAATGAAATGACAAATAAGAGTCAAAATCGTAATGTAAAAACTGTAACAAATTATAATAAAAGATCTATTGAAAAAATTACCTCTACGTCTTACGGCTGAAATTGATCGTAAAAAGTGTTTTGTTTCATTTTATGGTAATTTTACAGGTAATGGTTTAAAGAGTTTTATTGTTGGCAAACATTGTTGCAACGCCTCTTGTTGTACAGAACATAGTGATTCTTGGATTAATTATGAATAATTGTATGGAAACTGAAGACCTTACTAAACTATATTACAATGAATTTAGAAAAAAATTAGGAGCCACTGATTCACAATTATACTCAATGATAGAAACAAATGTATTAGATTTGTCACAGATAAAAAGCATAATTGCAGATAAGTTTGAAAATAAAGGTAGATATGTAGATAACCCAAAAATTTATTTAGGTTCTGATCAGTTACCTCCTGGTAAAGAATCGATTGACTTTACGGACATGGAAAAACGGTCTGATAAAAGTACTTATTGTAGACCAATTGTTAGTTTTAATAACGAATCGTTTGTGTCTCAAAGTTTAAAAAATAACGCGAATTTATATCAAGATTTGTGTAAATTAGTGCAAGAAATACAAAAGGAGAAACAAAAAAGAGACTGGAAAAGGTTTATCACTTTATTACGAAAAAAACATGGATGTTGCAATGTGTTTGATAATGAAAACCATATTAATATTCCAATGTCCGTGTACAAGGTTTCTTGTGAAAAAAATCATGAAAGAAAGAAAAAATTACTACAAAAACGTAATTTTTATGAATCTAACTTTATGTGTTACCCTACATCGTCGCTTGGACGTTTAACTATGCGAGAAAGAGAAAATGCAAACGCTAAGAAAGTTTTTAAGCCTATGAATTTGGTTACTAAAATAAATAAGATACAAAATAATGTAGCAAAATGTCAACCAATCAATGGGCCAAGTAAAAGAAATATATTTTATAATATCAGAAACACATTAGCTTCACAAACAGAAAATAATTTATTGCAGCAGGAAAGCAATAAAGACGGTATAAGAACACAAGAAACGACTACACAAAAAAGTATAAATGAATTAGAAATTGATAAACCAAATAATCTTGCAAATATTGAAAACAAAATTGACAATTTGATTAAGTCTATAAATTTATTTATTGGCGAAATAAAAACAAGAAATATAAGTAAAAGAGATGATTATATTCCCTTACCTAATAAATTTACACAGGTTTCTGTACATAAAATAAAAAGTGATACATGTGATCTTTTAAAGAAGTGTAATGTAGATATATACACTGACAATTCAATTACTACAGTTTGGCCTAGGCCCATACCATACCATAGTGTAACTACCTATACACATAGCAATAGTGAAATAATCAAATTAAATAAAACGTTAACAAATATTACAATTAATCATGTAAGTGACAAAGAAATTAATGTAAGAAACAAAAAAATTATATCACGAAATAATTCTTTAGGGACAGGCATTCAAATACCAAGACAAGAAAAATCAACAGAAATGACTGCTTCTTTTGTTAATACGGGAGTAAAACCTAGTGAAGTTGTTATTAGAGAAGAAAATTCATCATCTTTAGGTTCGCAAAAGGTTGGAAAGAGAAGTAAAGCTGCGAATACGGAGCCTCTCGGTGTTCTCGCTTTGTTAAGAGTATCGACAGAAACTATAAGGCAGCTTTTGTCTTACATGCCAGCCATTGACTATTTTTCTTATTTACCCCTACTACAACTTCCACATTCAAATGAAAAAGTTGAGCCTCAATATGTTTGCAAAATTTGCGGGGCAGCTTTTGATAGGGCATCACAGCTTAACGATCATATAAAAGGACATCAGTTGAGCGTTACAAGGTAAATTGTCAATTCCAGTAAGACAAATTCTTAATCAAACTTTAAATAATGTAAGTATAATATTTAAAAAACTATATTTCTAATTGGTATTTTTTTTTAGAGACTGCCGTGTTTGTCGGCATGTTCTTGAATCACAAAGTCATCGCCATCCAAATCTTTTCAAATGCCAGTATTGCGGCCAACGGTTCACGAGAGCTTACTGTTGTGAATTACACCAACAAAGCTGTGCTAAGCATCTTGGCTTGTGCCATGATGTCCCATCTAGCCTTATGCTGCTCAGATAGCTAGTACCGCAGCAAGCCAAACCATTTTTGGATCAAACGTTTATAAAGAGGATAAACATTATTTGGATGTAAGATTGAAGAGTTTTCGACATGATATAATCCGATGTAAAGTAATATGTTGGTATTATATGCGTTCACGATTGGCGTTAAAAATTTTGAAGACAGACTTTTTTATTATATCAACATAAGTCGAAATTTTCATTATAATGGTTAAGCGAGGTAGAATAACCTCAAAAAGAAAGACAACATGAGGATTCAGTTACTCTGTCAGGTTTTCTCGTCGTTAATTAATGTTTAAGTGCGATATTTGTAATCGCTGTGTATATTCATCTTATCCAGCGATTCTAATACAGGTGCTTTCTCGATGTTATCTTTTACCTGTAATATATGTAATATTTAATTTATATTGTCTTTGTTCTTTGCATGAAGAAGATAATGAATCTGAAAGAAGCGAAAGAGGTTTGTAAGGATCGTGACACTTGGCGATCTGTTCTCTCTGGCTACCCCGTCAGGGATTGTGCGTGAGGATAAGTCAAGTCTTTGTTCATACTTTGTGCATAAACATATTCAAATTTATCTAATTTTTTTTAAATTCCATACACCCGTAGATTTTCACTTCACGAGCTTGTCTATAAGAAACGCAGTTATATAGATATATACACTGACAGTTCAATCAATATCGTTTAGCCTAAGCACATACCATACAATAGTGTAACTACCCATACACATACCCATAGTAAAATAGTCAAATTAAATAACACATTTTAAGGTATGGCTAAAATTTGTTTCAAATTCCATACACCAGTAAATTTTCACTATACGAGTACTATACTATAGCTTGTATAAGAAGCGCTTATTTTTTTTAAAAGTGCGTCCAATCCACGTGGATAAATGTTTGCTTTTAGGGATAGGTGAAGGGATAATTGGGCGCAAAGGTAGTGAACGCTGTCAAAGGACCTTTTGTACCCACCGACGCACATCAATTATGGTTGTTTGTCAGGACTTGGGCGTTATAAATGTGAAATGAGACATGAAATACTGGCAATACATCAAAGAACCCTTCGCAGTATTATGCGTAATTATGTCAGCCTCTAAGTTGATGCAACAATGGAATCACATTTGCAAATAATCGTAACGTTAGGTTAATTGGCTGATGTTATAAATTCAGACATGCTACGTTTGCTTTGAGATTGTTTCCGTCGGAGTCTCTTCTTATCAACTTCTGGAATTTGTCGACGATATTTAAAATGGTGTTATTAACTACGATCGAATGGAAGTGTCGTGCCGTGTCGGCAATAAATGAATTATGAATTATGAAGGCCTCGTTGGTCTAGTGATCGTAAAGCCAACTGCTGATAATGAGTTCCCGGTTCGAATCCCGGGTCGGGCCAAAGAAAATCAGTTATTGAATTTTTCTGTATGTAAGGAAGTGGGCCGTGTTTCACCGCGTGCCTCGGAAAGCACGTAAAAAGCCGTCAGTCCTGCGCCTGATCTCTCTCCGGTCGTGTCGGTTTGGCGTCCCAGCGGACTATTATAGTGTCCTGCGTAGTTGGTTAGTCTCCTTAAAGGCAGGTTGCCGTGACCAAAATTCGATCTGGAGCACATTATTAACTCCGATCCCCGATATTATAAGTCAACTTGGAGGAAGGTAAAGTCAAAAATGTAGTGATAGTGTCAGCACAATTATTTATTTATTTAAACTTTATTGAACCTCATATAAGTACAGGATCAAAAGACGGACTTAATGCTAAAATCATTCTCTACCAGGGCAGTGATAGAACTACGGAGGGCGTTCACATCAAGCTAATTTAAAACGCTGAGCATTGCAATTGTGGTATCAGTATTATTTAGTTCCTTAACCAATCAAAAACTAAGAGCAATTTTACAATTTTTATATTTTAGTTAGTAGTTAAGTCTTTAGATATTTCGGTACATCCACTCATTTATGAAAAACGTTACAACAAAAAATCTTTTTAAACCGGATATATTGATAGTTTCCGATTATCGATACAAAAGCGGTTTTCTTACAATACGGGGGCCCGATGGCCGAGTCGCAAAGTTGTCGCAGAGGTGTAAATTCAATAATAAGTTAAAATACAAAGGCATTTTGTCCGGTGGTATGCGAGAGCCCACCGGGGTGTCGGCCGCCACGGACCCCACTAATTTATAAACCGTTAAGTATTTGGTACGGCGTCATAAGATCATGTCCGTTCTATTTGTTTAGGCGAAATAAGCATTGTTGAACGAACGTGGGAAGTTTGATGTGATAAAACCAATTTCGGAACGGATCGATTTTAAGGTGTGCATTTTGTTTTCTGCCTGTACGTGTCTTTGGATGTATTCTCGATATTGTCTTTGCTTAAATTTAAACGAAATTAGGAAATAGGCTCATTCTTTATTACTTAACCTGACTGCCCTAGAAGGAAGGTAATGTTTTTCGGATGGATTTACATACTCATATTACGTATGTTTGTCTTTATTCTAGATATCTTTAGGTTCGTTTTAATTCCCGGTGTGCCACATGCGATATTTAATGACGATAATAGCATTTTGATGCTACCAAAACATAACATAGTAGTATCGCATCATTTATATACTTACACATAATATATAAAACGTCATTAAGTTATTGAGTGCGTGCTCGCGGAGATTATTGACACAAAATAAATTAATATTTTTGTTCGTATTCTATGCTTTCCTATACGATTTATCGGATTACGATGAAACTTTTATGAGTAATTGTGCGCACGTTCGCGAATATGTCTGCACTGCTAGTTATAAAAACATTAATATCGGTTTTATTATAGTTGTCACACGAATGGATCGGCTCAAACGTCGTTTGGTGAGTGTAGAGAACCGGAGACCCTTTTTAGTGGAAATGAGGCATTCCATCTTAGTCCTCACGGGTGACAACGCATCTGCATTTTGATTCGTAAACGAGGATACATGTAGATGTCTATGGGCCACAGCAACCACTTACCATCAGGTGGACTGTGTGCTCGTTTGTTACCCTGTCCTATAAAAAAGAAATCAATTTGATGGTAAGTAGATGCTGTAGCTCATAGCCATCGACATCACTCCTCGATTAATAATCAAAATGTGGTGTCAACCGGAGGACTAAGATAGAATGTCTTGTTTCCAGTACAAAGGGTTTCCATACGAAACATAGCAACATTAAGCTGCTATTTCACGCTGTATTCTGTGAGAGCGAGGCCCTTCCCCGGTCGAGCCGACCCATTCATGCTACAACTATACCAGTAATATAATAATACCTATCCATAAGCTTTAAGTAAATAAGAAATAGTGATATTATTATAACGAATTTACTGATCACGTCGCGTAAGGCTGTCATACAACAACCCGCTTCTTTTCTTCACGGTGCTGAGATGATTCGGCCTGAAATATCCGCGAGGGGCATCGTCAAAGCGACTGCCGAACTAACTAAGACGGGCGTTTGGTTGCTCCGGAGGCGTAAGTGGCGTGAAGTTGCTTAACACTCGTAAAGCTGACCCGGATACTTACCCGAATATTAGGTATCGTAAGACTAACAGTTTTCTTTGTCTTATTTAATAATAAACTTTTTAAAAGGTTTACGGCCTTCGGTATTGTGTTAGGAAATTACGTAAAATAGCAGTTTAATGCTGCTGTGTTTCATATGTTAGGTATGTGTGGAGAACCGGAGACCCTTTTCACTGGAACGAGGCATTCCATCTTATTCCTCAGGGTGCATGCATGTTCAGTAGGGGAAGCGTCGCTAACGGTACTGCCGGGTTAGCCAAGATGACATACTACGATCGTTAACGCTATAATAAACTATAAAGATAAATGAAATCGTTCAGATATATAATTTCCATTCACTTTCATGTTTTCTATAGAGTTAACAATCTTAGAAAGTAGTATTTACTCATCCCGCTGAGCAGGCAAGCTCAGGACGTTTGAAATAAGAGGAGTAATCATCGGCAAAACTACGGTGCGTTTTTTCTTATAGAAGTGCGGAGCAAGCAGCTCACCTGATGGTGTCGACCGCCACCCATGAACAACTGCAACACCAGGGGAATTGTCTATGGGCCCAGCATCCACTTTCCATTAGGAGGACTATGTGCCCGTTCACGCTAATCTTCGAAACCGCTATTGTATCGTGTATTGCTTGCTCCAACATGAGAGGTAGGATATTTTTTATCCCGATAAGTGACCCTCAATATTTTTCTAGAAGCATCAAAGGATTTTTATAGGATGTTGGAAAGGGCAGGACAACGTCTGCCCGGCCAGCTAGCATAGTATAAATATGTAGAACGAAGGTGGCTTTAATTTTTTATTTCAAAACATTATTTAAATATCAATATAACTAAAAACCCGTATCAGTTACACCTGTTTGTTACAAACGGACGAAAAAAAATTGTAGAAAACATAAAAAGTCTACAATGGCGTCCTTTGAGGCTTTAAGATTAATATTTGGAGATCTAATCACAGTATGAGCACCTTGCGGCACGTGGGCCTCACTCGATGAGCTTTATCAAACTATTTGTTGACGTTGCTCTGTTGCGGACGTAGGGGGAAATACGTAAAGCCACGAAGTATATAGTTAAGCGCCATGATAACACATTGCATCGAATAAGTGACATCCATCACTCATACGATGCATTACAGTACCATTTCTATACTTCAGTGCGATCATAAGACCAAACAACCGCTTAAAAAATGATATCTGCTGCAAGTTTTTATTCTAACCGTATAATGATTAGGAAAGAAGAAGATAATGATCTGCTATAAATTCGTTTGCAGTTTAGCCAGTTTTTAGTTGACATATTTGCGAAAATTGAGACGGAAAGGTTGGGTTATATTAGGAACAATAAGGGCAGCGTAGAGCGGACAGTTATATACACTTACAAGATGCGATAGAGAGACAGGACATCGATGCTGATTAGCTGAGTCAATAGGTGGTGCTGTCTTCTTCTTTTACTAGGGGGCCACACTATATGCATGAGCGGACAGAAGACGCC